TAGCTGCCCCTTGTTGCTAATCATGTTTTGTGGCTTAGTATTCCAGTTGCTGAATTTCTCTCTCAAATATTTTAGCTTGCTTCCCCCAGCTGCCCAGCCGACTTCCTCAAGTGCATCGTAAATCTCCAGTCCAGATCTCCCGCTCTTGTAGACCCTCCCGATGCACTCATCTCTGCAGCCCAGCGTGAGCTCTCCGCTGATTAATGTCACTTGTGTGTTTGTAACACAGCCTTCAACTGTGGTGATGTCAAGATAAATCATTGTTCAGACCCTGTTAGTTGGCAGAAGCCAGGGACCTTAGCGTGCCCTCCTTATTTTATAGGTGAGTACAGCAAAGCCCAGGAGAGAACAGGGGACTTTCCCAAGGTCACACAGTCAGAAATTACCTGACTAAACTGGGGCTAGAATCCACATTCTCTGTTTTTTTTTTTTTTTTTACTTCAGTTTTCTTTCTAACTCACCAAAAGCTATTTAGTTTCTTTATTCTATTAAACATTAAAAAAAAAGCTTACAAAAATTGTGGTAAAATATGCATAACATAAAACTTGCTATCGTCACCATTTTTAAGTATATGGTTGAGGGGATCAAATGCATTTACACTGTTGTGCAGCCACCACCGCCATCTTTTTCCGCCTCCCCAGGCTGACGCTCTGTGCCCCTCACACGCCAGCTCTCTATTTCTCCCTCTCCTCTGTCTCTGGTAACCCCTCTACTTTCTGTCTCTGTGAATTCTGACTCCTCTAGGTACTTCCTGTAAGTGCGACCGTTCAGTTTTTTTTCCTTTTGCGTGACAGTTTCTTTCGCTTAGCATAATGTCCTCCAGGTTCACCCACTGTGGCAGGTGTCCTTCCTTTGTATGGTTGAATAGTCTTCTGTTGTCTGTGGATAGCGCATTTTGTTTATCCACTCATCTGTTGATGGACACTCAGGCTGCTCCCACCTTTTGGCCATTGTGAGGCATGCTGCTCCGAACGTGGATGTACCAGTATCTATTCACCAAGAAGTATTCCTTATATACATTTAGAGACACTTGCTCCTGACCATTGCTACTCATCTTTTTTTTTTTTTCCCCTAATGGAAAGTTGGGAAAATACAAAAAAGCGCAGTGAAGAATAGAAAAGTCATGGATGTTTTTGTGGTGTATATTTGCAGGATTTCATATTCATGCTGCCCATAATTTTAGGTTTTATACATACTAAGAGAGAATTTTAACAGATAGTCCCATCTGTGTAGTAGGGAGAACACATGAAATGTATTTAAGGAACAGAGAGCATGAACACTGAATGTGACCTTGGCCAACCCTGGCCTTGTCAGGAGAGGAGTTCATTCAAAGTATGATCTTACTTTACCTTAACAGTCTACAGAGGGAGCTCTTCGTAGTGGCGCTTCTTTTATTTTATTTTATTTTATTTTATTTTATTTTATTTTATTTTATTTTATTTTATTCATGAGAGACAGAGAGAGAGAGAGACAGAGAGAGAGAGAGAGACAGAGGCAGAGGGAGAGGGAGAAGCAGGCTCCCAAGGAGCAGGGAGCCCGATGCGGGACTCGATCCCAGGACCCTGGGATCACGACCAGAGCCGAAGGCAGACGCTTAACCATCTGAGCCACCCAGGCGCCCCCGTAGTGGCGCTTCTTTAAGACCATCATGGTAGAGCGGCTTACTGCTAAGAGTTGGAATTTGGAATGGGGGGTCTTTCCCAGTCACATTTCTTAAATATCCACTAGGGGGCAGTAAAAGACACATAAATTTTTCAAAAGGCCAGATGCATGCTGAGCAATCAGGCCACCACATCCTCTTTGCATCTCTTTCAGCCATCCGCGCATAGTTACAAGATAATGGATTTCATGTCCAACAGCAGCTTTGGGTAAAACTGGAGATACCAGCAGCTGTAGCCTACGTGCAGGTTTTCCTCCTGTTCAGGCTAACATTAGTGCATAAAACTTCATTTGATACGTTGGTCCCTGATTGTATTTTTATTCAATTCACATTAGTTCAGTGATTCTCAAGCAGAGTGAACATCAGAATCACCACACATGCTTTTTCCAAAGTACACATGCCCAGGTCTCCTCCCAGATCTATTAAATCAGAATTTCTGGGGCTGGGGCCTAGTTAGACTATATTTTTATCCTAGCCCATGTGTTCTTGCTAAGAACTAGTGCATTAGTTCTTAACTTTAATAACTGGGGGGAAAGAGTCACTCGAGTAAAAACTCAGAGGAGAGGTGAATATGAATTCTGGAAAATCTCTTTCCCTTTTAAAAATAGAAGCCACCGAAGGATCTGGTGGCCAAGGGAACCCAAAGCTCTGAGGCTTTCCCATAGATTGTACCTATATTATAACAAGCCAGGAACCTGGGCAGAAGCTTCTGGAACTGGGGAGGCCCTGGCAAACTCAGCATCTGTGGTTACAGCTCCGAGAGAGCCATGCTCAGGGGCCAGACTCCTTAGTGTGCAGCCAGAACTCAGACACCAACACTGTCTGCCATACTGAGAAAATCTTCCCTATGGTATTCAGGAAAAAGAGGCCTTTAATTTTATCTTAGGAGAAGTAAATGGGCGTAGAGAACCTGCAGTAAGGTCAGATGTCCTTAGTTCTCATCCGAACCATCCCACCAGCCAGCTGGGGGACCCAAGGCAAGTCATGTCACCTTTCGAAGCCTCAGCTTCTCAGTTTGAATTATGGGAGGGCTGGGCGGCGTTGATCTCCAAGGATCCTCCTGGTTCTAAAATTTCAATGATCCCATTAGTATTAATAATCATGATTTGTATGGTCCTACCCTGGCAAAGAGCAGAAGAAATATTCAGTAATGCAATGAATGACAGAGACTATTGACCATGTAGTTTAATTTATTTAAGGCATATACACTGAATTCAAAGGAGAAAATATTGCTCACCATAATATATTGAACTGTTAGTATCTTCAGCATAGTAAAAGCTTTCCAGAGGGAAAAATTATCCATCAGTGCAAACTTGACATTTTTCACTTCTTGATCCATAACTGCCATTTCTCTAGCATGCTTATATTTACTGTGAAGGGCCAGATATAGGAATGCTTTGGATGCATATTAAATAACTACATAAACAGCAAGGTCACAGTTGCACGAAAGGCTCAGGGGAGGGCCCTGGGAGGCTTGCATTGATCTCTTGTGAACTTCCATTCCCGAATCCTGCTGACAAGGGGAAACAATTGATGTGGACCATTATTAAGGTTTTAAGTGTTTCTCCATTGTTAAAGATCTTTTACAAGCCCGGAGTAACCGATAGTGCCCAAGGAATTGGCAAAACCTTCACTTAGAAATATAGGCTGGCCAGAGAGATAAGTAAAACCCAGAGTGCAAATGTCATGGGCTGAGCTGCTGCAGCAAAGGTGGAGGGCTGGGGCAAGTCCAGTGGGGGGGGGGGTGGCACGCCACCTCCTTGCCCCCCCACCCCGGGCATGGCTCTGAGTTATAGAGCCCAGAATGGAAGGCCCACTCGCGAGTCTTGCACGGCTGGCGGAAGCTGCAGAGAGACTGGCTCCCTCTCTCATCCGCCTCCAGGCTTCCTCCAGCTCCCCCTCCCCTTCCAATTCCAAGTCTGTGCACTCTCTGTGGCCGCACGGAGGACCTAATGAGTGTCCAGGGGAATTGGGTGTGCATGAATCATGCAGACCTGCAGATCCAGACTGAGTGTCTGGACTGGTCAAGTGCCCCAGATAATTATGTGAATGTGCTGCTGACCTGGAGCTGGAAAGACAGCAGATATTATGGATGGCAGAATCTAGTTTCAAAAAGATCTCAACAGACCGAAGGAGGATGGGCCCGGTCGGCTAGAGTAACCAAACGGGAGATACAAATGATAACATGAACGTTTCCCCGCACTAGCTCCACATTTGGTCTTACACTCGGCCCTTGGCACATTTCACTTTATCTCCTCCTTATAGTGATCCGGTGAGGGTAGGTTTGTAGATCCCCATTTTTATTTTTTTAAATATTTATTTATTTATTTGAGAGATAGAGTGAGTACAAGCGGGGGTAAGAGCAGAGGGAGAGGGAGAAGTAGACTCTCCTGCTCAGCAGGGAGCCCGATGTGGGGCTCGATCCCAGGAGCCGCGTAACCGACTGAGCCCCTCAGGTGCCCCGGCCCAGCCCCATTTATGAGCGCCTGCGATGCACCAGATACTCCACACGGCACCGTCCGCCTACTCTGACCCTCACAGAGAATATGATTCTCTTTCACAACACAAGGAGCAGAGATGTGCAGAGCGTGGGCACTGCAGTCCCACTGCCTGGGCCCCATCCTGGCCCCACTCCTCCTGTGTGACCTTGGGCAGGTCACTTAAGTTCTCCGTGACTTCCTCATCTGTACAACAGGAGTAAGATTGTTCTGAGGATTAAGTGAGATAAGGAATACACAGGTCCAAGCACACAGAGCCTGACCCGTGAAAGGCAGCCGTGAAGCGCAGCCATTCCTATTTCTTAAGGATGAAATAACTTGTCAGCTAGCTGAGAGGCAGAACTGGGATTGGAGTCTCCATCAAGGATTGGGCACCCCGCTCCGCGGGGAGTCTGCTGGTCCCTCTCCCCCTGCCCCGCCTCTCCTCTGCGCATGCTCTCTCTCTCTCTGTCAAATAAATGAGTCAAGTCTTCTTTAAAAATGGTGCTAGGCCATTATCTGCTCCTTCTCTTCCTCCTCCTCACCATTATCATATCGTCATGAGTTAAATGACTTGCCTGGTGTTAGACCTCCGACAAACACCCGGGATTTGGACCTAGCTCCTGGGACCACAGATCCGCAGCACTCCGGGTCCCCTTCCTGGAGGACAGGACTGAGGACAGTTCTTAGGTCACGATCTCGGTACCTAGTCCAGTGTTATCCCCCCGGTGCTTCGTGAAGACTCCCACAGGCAGGGCTCACTCTGTCACTCCTTCACCAAACATTGGCCGAGGGTCCTGCTCTGTCTTGGGGGTGCAGAGAGGGAAAGAATGTCAGGCTAACCATTCCTTTTTCCCCACCAGGTTCGAATGGTGAAAGATGGCGACCCCTCCTGGAAGCCCACTTTTATTGTGAAACCTGACAGTGGTTGTCAGGGCGATGGCATCTACCTCATTAAAGACCCCAGCGACATCCGCCTGGCAGGGACCCTTCAGAGCCGACCAGCGGTGGTCCAGGAGTACATCTGCAAACCTCTTCTGATCGACAAGCTCAAGTTTGACATTCGTCTGTATGTCTTACTCAAGTCCTTAGACCCCTTAGAGATTTATATAGCCAAAGATGGACTCTCTAGATTTTGTACAGAGCCATATCAGGAGCCCAACCCCAAAAATCTGCACCACATCTTTATGCACTTAACCAACTATTCCCTGAACATCCACAGTGGTAACTTTGTCCATTCGGACAGCACTAGCACGGGCAGCAAAAGGACTTTCTCTAGCATCCTTTGTAGGTTGTCTTCCAAAGGTGTTGACATCAAGAAGGTCTGGTCTGATATCATCTCCCTGGTGATTAAGACTGTCATTGCCCTGACTCCAGAGCTCAAAGTTTTCTACCAGTCGGACATCCCCGCGGGGAGGCCGGGGCCCACGTGCTTCCAGGTAACCATTGCCAGTCCCAGCCTGAGTTCCCAAAACCTCACGGGGCCTGTGGAAGGCTCCCTGGCTTCCTGTGGGATGAGAGGTGGGGGTGGTGCGGCCAGAGGTGGGCCAGGGGGGTTGCGGGTGTGGCCTTGGGGGTTAAACCTGGGTCCAACTTTACATTTGCTAGCTGTGTGAATAGAGGCAAGTTGCTTCCCTTTTCTCACCTGTAAAATGAGACGAGGAGTACCTCCCTGAAAGGATTCTTGTAAGAATTAAATGAAATAACACAAGCACAGTGCTTGCCATTTATTTATTCATCCTTCCTTCCAGCATTTTGTACCACCTGCTTCGTAGGGGCCAGGCACTGTCCCAGGTACTGCATAGACAGTCGGTCAGGTCTCCTCTGGCCGAGGCATGGAGTTTACTAATATGGGAGACAAATCATTTAGAAAGCACCTCATATAAAGTGTCACAAGGGCTAGAGTAGAAGAAGAAAGGGACTGGGCACTGGGACATTGTGGGACTGTCTGACATTTTCTGGCTGGGAGTGAGGGTGGTCTGGGAAGGCTTCGCAGAAGGAGTGGCAATTGGACGAAGTCGGAGATTCTGGATAAGTCGGAGACAGTGTTCTGGGGGGACATGTTCGCAGCCCTCGGGGGAAGGGGGAGTCATGCAGTTCGAGGAATTGAAAGAGGTTCAGTGTGGTTGGAAGGTCGGGTTTGAGGCAGAGCTTGAAGGGAGATGAGGGAAGAGGAGGCGGGAGAGGTAGGTATCGGCCGAGTCACGGAAGGCTGAGGGCTGGGGGGCCCCCAGAGGATGTGCACAGGGGCATGGTGGACTCAGGTTTGCACGTTACAAAGAACAAACCAGCTGCAGGGTAGAGAGCGGATTGGGTAAGGCTGGGAGCAGGGAGGTGACTAGTGAACCGATGGCTTTCATACAAGCAAGAGCTGATGTTCACTTGGATTAGGAAGATCTTGGTGCAGGTGGAGAGAATAGATCTGAGAGCCATTTAGGAGGTCGACGGGCTGGGCTGGTGACTGCTGGGGCTGAAGGGATTGGTGAGGCTGTGGCGGTGAGGGACAGGGGAGAACTGAGACTGACTCTGGTGGCTTAGGCACTTGGATGGATGAATAGAAGCCTCAGGAAGGGGACCAGGCTTGTGTGGAGAAGGTCAGGAGTTGGACTTGAACATGCCCTTGAAGAGCCTATGTGACCTCCAAGTGGAGAGTTTGAATGGACATTTGGACATTTGGGCATTTGGGCCTGGAGTTCAGGAGCGAGATGCTGGGGCTGGGCTGAGAACTCACCAGCGTTCAGATGATGACGGAAGCCGTGTGAGGCTGCAGGGGAGGCGGGGCCTCGGAAGACCCCTGTGGGCACCACTGTTTAGGCAAGGGACAGGTGGGGGTGGGGTGGGGGAGGGACCAGCACAGGAGGCCAACAAGAAGGGGCTTGAGACGTAGCAGTGATATCAGGAGAGGAAGCACCTTGAGTGCCAAGGAAGATGTGCTTGGAGAAGGAGCAGGCAGGGATCAGCAGTGGCAAATGCCACTGACCTGTCGCATGAGACCAGAACTGAAATTGTCCACTGTGCTTCGTGATCATCAAGGATGATCTTCAAGGGAGTGAGGGGGCTGGGCCCATAGCGTGCTGGCCCGAGCCAGAGCGCGGGAGGGAGGGGAGGGAGCGAGAGAAGGGCTGTGAAGCAGGGTGAGGCTGGAGTCCGGGCACTCAGCAGACACCTGGGTTCCTGCCACCAGATACTCGGAGTGGGGAGCAGATGGTAAGAAGGAGTACCTCTGGGACCCTCTCCATCTCATCTTCAAAATTACTTTGTGGCAGGTGAATGTATAAAAAGAACACACAGAACACGCCTTTAAGCTTTGGAGCAGAACAACAAAATGGTCATCCCAAACGCCACCTCCCTACCCAAGCTCGCTTGCTAGCTACCGTGCTTGTCCCCATCCCATTTTCCTACCCACTCCCAGGGTCACAGTGTCTGGAATTTTATGTTTATCATTCCCCCTGCCTTAAAAAATACTTTTCTTATGCACGAATGTATCCCTAACAGTATATATTGTTTTGTTTTGCCTGGTTTTGAGCTTTATAAAAACGCTACTATAAAGTATATAGTCTTTTTCAACATTCTTTTCCACCACATGTTGAGGTGGGTTGTTGGGACCCATTTCATTTGCACTGCTATCTCTGCCAATATCAATACACACGATTTGTTTGGGTTGTTTCTCGTCCTCCATCCAAGACTGTGGCAGGAGAGCAACAGGCCGATGGAACAAAGAAGGGAGGGGAGAGGCAGGGGGGCAGCGACTCTGATGGATGGGTCCAGATCTAGAGATCTGTCCTTAGGCCCTTGGACCCCAGACTCTGGTTCCCAGGTAGGATGTCTGTCCAGCTCAGCCATCAGGTAGGTAGCTTATGGCATTAGAAAGGGTAAGTGGGCAGAACTCAGAGATAGGACCAGAGAAAACAAGTCCGATCCCAAGCCATCAAAAGGTTAGGGCAAAGGAGACAGTTGCAACGTGGAGGCATCCAGGGGTCATCCCAGGGGACCGTGTGGCCACATCTGTTTGACGGTGATGGCTATTCCAGGAGAGTCATGTGGGCCCGGCCTGCACAGCCAAGCCACGGAGCGCTGGCACGGTGAGGGCGCAGGGGGAGCGCCAGGGTGGCGGCTTTGCTGTGGACAGGCTGCATGGGCAGCCACTGGGGTGGAACCAGGGGCGCAAGCTGTGGGGAACTGGAGGGCAGACAGGGAGGGAGCCACTGGTTTGGACAGATGACGTCTAGTGGATGGAACCGCAGCCCCGTGTCTGTTTTCCTTTGCTTGACCACACTAACTGCTTCCAGGCCTGGGGTCAGGGGATGAGCCCCGGACTGGAAACAATGCTCCAAGGAGGAGCTCTTCCCCTTCGCAGCTGTGTGACCTTGGGCAATTTCCTTCACTACCCTGGGCCTCTGTTTCTTTCCCTGTGAATCACCCGCACTCACTTCCCCAGCTGCCTTCTTAGGAGCAGCATGAGACACCGTAGGTGAAAAACTTTGACGAGGAGTGAAGTGTTAGATGTTTGTAATGGGTTTACCATACATTTCAGATTCACGGTGATTGACAAAATACTAGGTTTTTTCCCCTTGGAGTCCTCTCTTACTTTCTTTATCCTCATCACTTGGTAAAACACTTGTTAGTTTGGGTCTCAGATACCCAAAGTAACTTGAAACCCGAAGACTGCAGGCAGCGGTATGGTTCTGCTCTGCAGTTGCTGTGAGGTCTTACCTAAGTCACTTAACTTCTCTGGGCCTGTTTCCTCAGCCTCCTCCCAGGGCCGTTGTCCATCACACGTGAGATAAAGAGGCAAACTATAACGTTCTGTGCACGTACAAGAAATGATTTCTTTGTCGTGAAGCCCCCTTCGCCTGTAGCCTGGGCCGGGCCCATGTTGCCGCATTCCGGGACATAAACTCCAGCCAGCAACATTACATTTATCTCGAACATGTGACTATGACCCCTTTCCAGTCATAGCCACAATAACTGCTTGGGAAATTGTGGTGGCCTGGAGCGGCTGCTGGCGCGGCTCAGGCTGTGGGCAACTTTCCTGTAATCTGTTGCCTAGGAACATTCCCCCCCACCCCCACCCCCATCGCGCAGCCAGCCCCCCACAACACGTCCTCACGGCCCTCAAGAAGGGCAGCAGTGTGACCCTGGCTTCAGCAGTCAGGTCCATGTGGGGGTAGATGATTCATGTGGCAGAAAAACACACGCAAAGGAAAGGTTTCCCAGCTCAGCTTTCAAGAACATTCTTTCCCAGTTCTGTTGCTCCGTCTCTATCTTCCTTTAGCGCTGTGTCTCATTCTCTCCTTGGCTCCTGATCCTTTCCCTTAGATGTCTGGAGGAGACACCTTTCCTGAAGCCTAAGTGCTTCTCTTTCTTCTTTGTTCTTTTGATCTCCTGCTCCCCTTTAGCCCCAGATGCCCCCTGGGAAGGAGATGAAGAAGCAGCTTTGTGGCCATGGGAGGGCTTGGGTTTCACTCTCAGACGCCCTGGGTTTGAGCTAATACCAGCTCCTTCCAGCCACGCGAGCTGGTGAGCTTGCCAGTTAACCTTTTTTTGCCTCGGTTTCCTTATCTGTCCTGCCACACACAGCAGCTTCTGTGTCTTAGACATAGTTTGTGCTTTCCCGAGCCTGCCCTTTTGTCCTCCTCTGTCTTGGCCTGGCAGGCTCGCTCTCCAGTCTCACTGTTTTTTGTAATTCAGTGCTTCCACCAAGGTGCTGTGTAAATCCCTCCTTCTCTGTAAAGGCTTCCTTGACCACTTTTGATACATAAGCTTTTTTCTTCCTTAGGAATATTCCCTGAGCACGCACTGAGACAAACCCCGAGCTAGCTGTGGGGCAGGTGGCCGTGGGTAAGGCACGGTCCCTGCCCCTAAGAGGGGCGCAGGTTATGGGGAACACTGGGACCTGGGGATCACAACTGCTTGTCCTAAATGATGGAGAAGGGCCTCTACAGGATGCTGCGAGAGCACAGAGAAGGGAGTAATTAACTGCCTGACCCATTCAGGGAGGGCTTCCCAGAGGAGGAGCTGTTTTAGCCAGAGCTTCAGGGATGAAGCGGAATCTGCTTCTGAAGCAGAAAGGGGTGAGGGACCCCCATCGTGGTCTGCTTTCCCTGCCCCCTTCCTGGCTGCCACTTCTGTGCCCCTCCTTCTGAACCTTCAGTGCTGGAGATTCCCAGCACTCAGTGCTTGGAAAGTTCCCTTATCTACAATCGCTCCCTCAGTGTTCTCACTTAGCCCCGTGGCTAGTATATCCAGCTGCCTCCTTCCATTTTCTATTCAGATATCTAGTGGGACTCTCACGCTCAACATGTCCAAAATCAAACTCTTGGTTTCCCTCCCACACCTAGTTTGCCATTGTTTTCCTATTTCAGGAAATGCACAGCGTTTGATCAGTTATGCAAAATGAAAACCTGAGCCATTCTTCCTTCTTTCTGCCTCCTTCCTG